TCTTCGTGTAAATTCTATAACTTTGCAAAGAAAGGTCTTGTGGAGTTGGGAGAGGTCTCATTTTAATCAGAAATGTGCGGGCTACAATCATGCCTCATTAAGAACAGTTCGAGTTATTTTTTGGGGTTTCTGAAAAACTCGTTTTCTAGAAAATCAGATCTTCGAAGGGCTATGCGGAAGCCGCATGGTCGATAACCTATAACCCACTAGATTCCGAGCAAAAAGCGTTTAATCACTTCGTGGGGTTCCCTCGTGAGTATATTTTTAAAAATTCACTCTCATTGGTCATTCTATCAAGCAACAGAAGAATATTAAATGATAGATGGCGACTTGTCTTTTCTATCAGTTTTCATTTTATCTATTTAAGTTCTTCGTCTCCTATTTCCATAAAATATGCATTATACGCACTTTATGTCATTTTAAAATTTAACTGTATTTAAAAAAGTTACTTTTTCAGTCGTCATATTGGCCTCTTCCATATTTTTTCTTCTGAATGCTAGTTTTCAACGAATGCTGAAGTTAGCAGTTATGTTACAATGTTTAATTGAAGTATGTATTTCAAAGAAAAGAGGTCTCATTACAGTCTTAAAATGATAGTAGTTTTTAAAAATAATAGCTTTTGGATTAGAAAGTATAAGAAGGATCTTCTAACGGACTCTTTAAATCCTTTTTCTTAGCAGAGAACGCTTTACCACATTGATCTATGTAAAAAACCAAGTCCAGTATATTCTGCCTGGAAATGGTGTACATGATGAATGTACACATCTTTTGTTGTGGACTGTGTTCTGGTGTTGGTACTGACACAACATTTGAAGTATTACCTTACGAGCTATTTCTACAAGTATTTCGTTATCTTCAATCAATTAATTTTACGAGAAAAAGTAGCCGACAGGAGACATTTTCGTAGCCCTAGTTGCATCCATTTGTGTTCACGGTTTGTCCACGTAACTCCAGACTTCGCTGATCAAGTTTTTGAAAAATTATTTTAGAGTAGAACTGAGAAGAGCATATCACTAGATGCAGCTTTTGGCGCTGATCACGAATCTCATCTCTCTCCTCTCTCATGGTTCCTAACTGAGAACACTTTTCTTAGGAATCCCGTGTTAAATCCTGATACTTTTGGATAATCTCAAAACTGAATGAAATCATAGATTATTGACTTTTCTGAAGGTTATATCTATATTTGTTTTAAAGTAAAAGTGTAAGACGATTTTGCACCGACGCGAAAAAATCCAAAACATTTTTAGAATGATATAAACAGTTAGCACACAACATCTGTTTACCATTGTCAAAGAAACATCCCGTTTCGTTCCTTGAACGTGAACGCTAGCGCTCCGATGAACGTGAACTTTATTTACACCAACGGCGCTCGTATTGTCTGAGGTAAATGTAAGATTCGGTGAATAACGGTATTCTTAACGGACTCCTTTGTCACCGTTAACCATGTACACAGTTATATTTGTTGTTTCTTTTCTTTTGCTATTTCCTTTTATCTCTTCGTCGCTTAGTCACTCTTGTACTGCTATAGTCTTATATATTAGTCCGCCGTCCTCTTCTTATTCCTGTTCTTTATTGAATTGCATAGTATTGAGCAGATAAAACAGAGTAGATATTCTGGTATAATTTGGATGGATCTTGGCTAGTTTATAAATTTCTTAGTTTTACTCAAAAATAGGCAAGAATCGGTCATTTCACTTAATATGGGTTTACACTAGGTTTCGCGAACTTGTTTGCAAAACAAATATCGCCATGAGATTCAGCGTGGTCGATTATCTATGTCTCCATTCGTTTCCGGAATTACTACACCTAAAGCAACATTGATGGATTCTGGTGTTGGTACTGACACAATATCTGAAGTAGTACCTTGGATATCATCCGCTGAGTATGTAAAGTGAAGAAAGCAAAGTGAAGATAAAATGCCATTTTTTTCGGTTTTTATTCTGCACGTACTTTACCCGTCATATGATCGCTTTTTTGCGACCAAGATGCGTCCGTTAAATAGAAGAACCGGCGTTATTCTTGAAACAGAGACTGGACAAATGATCT